GCCCGCAGGGGGACAGCTCAAGCGCGCCCGGGCTGTCCCGCTGCAGGCGTGCTCCAAGGCTGTGCTCCCTGTCTCCCTGCAGACCAGGGAGACGGGGAGCAGCTTTTCTTGCCCTGGAGGATGGGGGAGGTGGACCGCCGCGCATCTGGGCGTCCCGCCGCTCCCGTCCTCCGAGGCGAGAAAAGCCCTGTTTGTAACTGCGGATCCGACATAAGTCGGATCCGCGTAACTCGGGGACTGCCTGTACTCCTTTAATGAATGGAGAAAGAAGCTTGCCTGCAGAAGCTCTGTAGATTCTAATGGTCAAGTTGTTCTGGAGACCAATCTTATCCCTTACTAATAAAATTATACAGTGGCTACGTGGACTGAGTTAAAATGTTCTATCTCCTGAGTAGTTGCAGAATTGTGGTCAAGTTTCTGAAAGGCTGGTGCTGTTTAGGGAATACATTGGCGGCAGCAGCAAAAAAATGTTTCAATCATGACTTTGTGTTTCACACAATATCTGGAGGAAAGTTTCTCCAATATAGGTGAGACTGAGGCAAGTGTCCAGCAGAGAACACACACATCTTGGGGAAGAAGGTCAGGAATGTGTATTCAGGGCAGCAATTAGAGTCCAGGGCAGAATGAAAGCTAGCATTCCAGCTTGCCACCATCCATTTCCTGAGTCCCACAAAGATCCTGGTTCTTAGGAAGCAGCATCTCTCCAGCATCCTCCTGCTAGGTTTCTGATGAGCCTAGTCAATTTTTTTTTCTTATGAGTGTGCAGAGCTACTGCTGCATGAATGGTGTCTGGGATGACAACCTGAGGGTGTCGAATCCTTTCCAAGTCCTCAATGACACATCACATGTCCTCTGTTGGATAGTCTCCTTTAGCCTTCATTTCAGTATCATGTCTCCAGAGTTGCTTGCTTTATTTTTTTCTCTCATGCTGATCAGTGTCCCAATCATGACCCCTTGCTCACATGTGCTTTGCAGTGTCCACAGAAAGGTCCTCATTCTTGTGGCTATTCCTTGTTGAGGCAGCTTTTTCGAACTCAGCTCCAGGCAACTGCAAGAGACTGGGGGTGGAGGGTTGTGGAGGCTGTTCATCTGAAGTGCTATATGGTTGTACTGCTAGTATAATATACTGGGGTGCAGGAGCAATAAACAAAATCTGGCTCTGCACAGTCTTAAAGTGGAGAAGGGTCCTCCTGGAAACTTGACCGCTGGGCACAGTCTCACAAAACAAATCGGTAATGGGCGACCTGCAAAATACTGTGGGATAGTCATTAGAAGCATGCAAAAAGTAGTACACTGCAATTGTCTGCATGGAGGTGGAACTGCTTTAATTTGAGGCAAGTGTAGTCTGCTTTCCAAGGGAACTCCAAAGTTCACAAAGGCAGAGTTAATTCCACCATGCGTCTGCACGTGTTCTAAAAACCAAATCTAATGCCTTCTGAATTTTTTTAATTCAGCCAAACACTTACTTTCAGGCTTAAAACTATAGTTTCTTGTATACAGCCTAACACCAAGGGTCTTCACTCATGATTGGAACTCCTAGCAGTACAATAGCACTAGTCAATCAATTGAAGTGACTCCTCTAAAACTTAAGAGGAAGCCAATGTCAAAAGTGGGTAACTTGGATCTGTTCACTTCTAGCCTTGCATCCTATCCAATGGAGTGCATTGCTTTCCCTCTTCAGTACACTGAGACGTGGACTCTCACTTCTGTTAATAACATGGGACTAGTTAATCTCTATAACCAAAAAGCATGAGAAAGCAATAGCCATTAGTGGGTGGTACAGTGACAGTTAAGAGTTCCCCAAAATGAGGTTTTGTGTGGCTTCAGAAACACCAGATACCACTAAGCCAATACAACTTTTTTGGTTCTGGTCTATTAGGTCTTGTTAGGAAAGTCAGCTAGCTCCATCACCAGGGGAGTGGGGGGAGGGTGTGATTCATATCCCCTCCTTGGCCCTTTTTGTCTCCTGGGTGCAAACCACCAAATAGGACTTTTACACAAATGAAGGGACAGGCCAACTGACGCTTGCACAGCAGCAGCTTTTTCCATGCTATTTCTATATTGCCTTCGTGCATTGTTGTCACTGTAATGAACATGGTATAAACCTATGGAGAATAGAATGGCCTCTGGCACAACATAAATAGGGGGGAAGATCCAGAACACACTTGTACTGAAATTTATATACACAATGGCCACCATCAGGAATATATTAAACTCGTTCATTTTCATAGCACATGGATTAAAATCCTTTGGATTTACATTGGCCTGACACTTCTGCAGCTTTTTCTGATGGTGGTAGAATTCAGGGCTGCAGTAGAACTCAGATTGTCGGTGCACAGGGTGCACTGGTTTATGCTACTTATTTCACACCAATGGTTAAGGCTGTCTTCTGTCTTGCTTTCCAATGAGAATAGCTTGGCTAAATGTTACCCTAGATCACTCCTTTGGTGGAAGGAAAGTGTTCCTTTTCCCTCTTGCCAGTTTGAAACAGCTACAGGTCAACCAGGGTACACACAACCCGGGTGGGATACAGAGGTTTTCTGGAGGTACATCAAATCCTCTTAGCTATTAGACATTTGCCTAATTTTACAACAGGCAATATCAGTGGTGGGCAACTTGCTCATTGGGGTTCTATGTGGCCCACAAGACACTTGTTTTCCCATGTGCAGAGTTGTCAGATTTTACTGCTTTTCTTTGAGTCATTCTC